CCAGTGCAACAGTGTGGCTCACTAATCTATTGTGCTCTATGGCACAGAGGAAGAAGATAAATCAGGCTTTGATACATACCCAGTACTTGTTAGTTGGTTTGGGTCTGCACCCATGTTGACAATAAGAAAACTATAGAATATCACCAGACTTATCCTTTCAAATGTCTAATTTGTGCTGAAAGTATATAAAAGTGTGTCTAAATGGTGAACTATAAGCACAGTGGCTGTTTGTTAAGGCATATTTGTTGACTAAAGGTATTTTTGGAACATAGCTTATATTTTTTATAGCTCTTAGAGCCACTTGGATCCTAAAAAGTTCACTAAAAAGAGAACTCCATTCTTAAAGGGCAGAATGAGTAGGATTTGTTGGTTGCTAAAGTGGGCCCCTCCTCCACGGCTCAACGAGAGCCGCATTAGCAAGAAAAAAAGCAGTGAATTAGTTATTTTTACTGATTGTTTCATAGCAGTTAGGTTCTAAAGCAACATGGCCACACCTCCGCACAACCCTGCGGGAAAGAGCCACATTACTGGATTGTGTGTGAATTCAGCCAAAGCCACGCTTTATTCTTCTTCTGCTCAGCGTGTGTGTAGCTCAGTCCCGCCCTCAGTGAAACGGACTCACTGACTGTCACTAGTTACGACAGTCCCAACATCACACCCTGCATGATGCCCAAAGTTTGACCCCCCAGAAATGTCCTGAACATAGCAAGATAAGACAACAAAGGCAGAGGGCTGCAGATCCCTGCAGATACAGACACTGCCAGACTAGTGAAGTGATGATAAGGAGGGATTATTTTTGTATGGGTCTATACATAGTTAATCCTACTCATTCTGCCTTTATTAAAGGAGCATTTTGCTCCATATTTAGGTCAAAAATCTGTCTTGTAACCTCTCACAAGACAGGAAAATAGGGTTTTGGAAGTGTTACTGAATCAGCAGCCTGCCTGAGGCACAGGCTGAAAAAAATATTTCCACAACAAAAACGCCATAGTTTAAACTTTTTGTGATATAGAGTCATACAAACAAATTATTTTAAACCAGTAAAGCCACTTGATAGTAAATGCTTGAACCATGCTGTTTTGTAGTGCTGAAATGATTGAGAGGATGTAGTCGTAAGGATTTTTTTTTTTTTCGTAAGGTCTCTTGTGTACACTTGTAATTCCACTTGATCGGAAAAACATTGTTGGTGCACCTTGCGACACCTCCCTGCCCTGGACTCGGAGGCAGGAGGTGATCTTTTTGAGGATTCGTTTACAAAATGATCAGGAAATTGTAACATGCAGCGTGCCAAAGGCAGGGTTCCTCGGGAAAATACTGTCAGTATGTTGGGGTGTGTTTTGTTTTTGAATCAGATAAAGTGGTATGAAAAAGAAATGCTTTTGTGTGCTTATTTAAACTCATTACAGCTTTATTGTTCTCTCCACTATATAGATTACAATGTACTGTTAACTGTCTCTCACCTTTGGACAAAGACATGCAGGTGGTCTACTGGCGACCGGTCCAAGGTGTACCCTCCATAGGTAATGGATGAGTGTGAGTGTGGAGACAGAAAGGATCAGGCTTAAGGGTCAGTTCACCCAAATTACCAACCAAAGAACAGTTCACCTTGGCCCCAGTGGTATCTGACCATGCAGAGGGTTGTTAAGAGTTTTCTTTGGGACTGTTCCTCTGGTGGAGAGTAGTGTAGTACTGCCCAATGTGGACGGTCCGATTTGTTAGTTATCTACAGTACTCCTGACTTACTCTGTAAACATGTTAGGCTACCACGGAATCTCTGGACTGAAATCCACCTCCATTCCTATATATATAACTGATGACCCCTGACTAAATTACACATTTTCTGGATATTTCATATTGTATTCAATGCATAACAATAACAGTACAGAACAACTGTAAATATTGAACACATTAACTGCAGGAATTTTGAGCAGATTATTTCCTGTGAATATTGACCAGAGTTGAGTTTGGCTGATATTTTTAGCAACATTTATACCATACTGTCTGTATAATGTATTTTTTGAGTCAAGTTTTCCTACTTCTAAAATCAAGAAGGCTCGCTGACTCCTAGAGATAGTCCCTAAGATACTGAACCCCAATCTGTTCCCGATGCCGTGCCATCGGTGTATGAATGGATGAATGTGGCGTGTAGTGTAAAAG